TTTTATAAAAAAATATTATTTAAATTATAAATATATATGACATACAATATAATACAATACAATAAATTATATAATGATGCGTAACAACCACCTAAATGAATGTATAAGAAAAAAGTGAATAGAAGGTGCTTGTTTCTTTGGGTGTTTTCCAATAAAAAATAGATGAATAAAAATACATATTGCAAGATCTTACTATACTTTCTTCGAATGATTTATACAAATATTTATTATGTTATATTGTATTGTATTATATTATATTATTTTATAAGTAGCTTAATATAAATTTTTATAAGCGGATGTGGCATCTATATTTTTCCCCCTAATGATTGAGGTTATCATTGAACGTGTATTTATTATGAATTTATGATCTACCTACCCTGTAACAAAATGCAGTACATAATCTTCTTCAAGCAATTTTTTTTCACCTCAGACGTAAAATAAAATAAAAAATACACTTAGGAAGAAAATAATATATTTTATTTTTCAAATTACAAAAGCGATGGGCAATATGTATGTGTTTTCGTAGAAACAACAATGTGCAACTTGACAGCAACAAATTTTAATCAAAATAAAATAAAAGCCTATTAATTCTCTATATAATAATCAATTCTTTGCCTTTTTGAATCAAAAAAATTTGAACCAAAAATTTGTGTTTCTTTACTAATCTTAATTCTAAGCTACTTTGTACTCTGATGACTTTTGTATTCAGTTACAATTCTCCCGTCGGAAAATGGCTTGGCTTCGTCGCCGCCGTTTGGGTACAAGCTATTTCCGGCAACAATTACACTTTCTCTAACTACTCCGACGCTTTAAAGTCTCTAATGGCACTCACTCAGCTCCAATTAAACAACCTCTCAGTAGCTAAGGATGTCGGAAAAGCGTTCGGGATACTCGCCGGACTTGCCTCCGACCGTCTATCTACTCCGGTTATTCTTTTCATTGGAGGAATCGAAGGTTTCATTGGTTACGGTGTACAATGGCTTGTCGTTAGTGGTACAATTAAACCTCTTCCTTACTGGGTCATGTGTATATTTTTATGCATGGGAGGTAACAGTACTACATGGATGAACACCGCCGTATTAGTTACTTGTATAAGGAATTTCAGGAAAAACAGGGGACCTGTAACCGGGATTTTGAAAGGATATGTTGGATTGAGTACGGCAATATTCACCGATATTTGTTCGGCGTTATTTTCCAGCGATCCAGCTACTTTCTTACTCATACTTGCCGTAGTTCCTTTTTCCGTTTGTCTCGCGGCGATTGTCTTTCTCCGTGAAATTCCACCTTCCTCAACTTCTGCAGAAGAAAAGGAAGAGGTCAAATACTTCGGCGTCATTAACATAATTGCCGTCATTATAGCTGTTTATTTGTTAGTATTTGACATTTCCGGTACTCATGGCAAAGTTTTTTCACAATTTTTTGCTGCAATACTTCTGGTACTTATAGCATCGCCTTTGTTCATTCCGATTCACCTTATGGTGAAAAATTTTATCCGCGAAAATTCAGAGAACTTTGACGTTGAAGGGAATAACAATGTTGCAGAGCCATTACTGTGCGTTGAAGAAACGGTTACAGAAGAAGTTGAGAAAAAGGAGACTGTTGTAGTGGAGGAAAATAAGGTGCCAGTTGCAGTGGAGAAACGGCAACCTGTTATTGGAGAAGATCACACGATTTTCGAGGCAATAAGGACTCTGGATTTCTGGATCTTGTTTGTATCATTTCTTTGTGGAGTTGGAACAGGTTTGACTGTGATGAACAATTTGGGGCAAATGGGATTAGCTCTGGGATATGTTGATGTTTCCATTTTCGTCTCCCTCACCAGCATTTGGGGATTTTTCGGTCGAATTATTTCCGGCTCCGTCTCCGAATACTTCATCAAGTAAGTTTACCATCCCTATAATTTATTAAACTTACTAGATTTTTGTTTTTGTATGCTAGTTACACGTACATCTTTTCTACTTTGTAGCTTGATTTCGAGCCTATTTGAACCAACGTAGTTTAAGTATTTTAAAGCCAAAATAGCCCTACTTTACTAATCGTACTTGTTTTTCAATTCAAAGCATTTGACTAATTGTGACTGATTATGGAAATCTCAAGTTTAGGTGTACTTGAAGGTAGTTTTGTTGAGGATTCCCTTTCCATAGTCTTTTTGCAACTATAGAAACAAAAGGGGGTATTCCCTCAAAAGCAACTTATTTTAAACTTAAATTAGTGTTTGGTGGGAAGAAATTGAAATGAACTTCCTATCTTTTCCCTTCTAAGCTAAATTGCTTTAACTTGAAAATAGTCTATAGATATATAATAGAGTATATGCATACTTTATATATACTACATAAAACGGCAGATTCGTCTAGCTATTGGTATAAGACTACTTTTTATTAAATGTGCAGAAGTTACTCATTTTATTATAATTTGATTAATTTATTTTTATTTTAGTTTCTTAAAGAAAATGACTCTTTTCATTTTTAAGTTCGAGAAAAATCTATTTGAATTCATTTAATTTTTTCACCAATAAATATGTGCTCGAAAACCAAAATATTCTGCCTCCTATTTTTTTATGAAAAGACTGAAGTTTTTTCTCGAGAGATCAGAAAAAAAATGGGTCAGGACCTCCTATGAAAATGATTCAGAAGATCCAAAATAAAAAACAAGGATATTTATTGGATATTCCTTATCGTTAATTTAAATTACAAAATTTATAATTGTTTTTCTATTTTTTAAATTTCATATGAATGAAGTAAAAGAAAAGCTGGACGAAGGTGGCATAAGTTGGTGGGCACATTAGGCCGATGAGGACTTTTCTTTTTTATGGGTAACTTGGTGGTAGATAAATTGTGACTTTGATGTACTTTTGTGTAAAAGTCTAATCCCCTTTATACGTTAATAGATTATCTATAAACAATATTTTAACGAAATCTAAGAAAGATTAGAAAATAGATTATATTCTCTTTCATAATAGTTAATGGTTCATTTTAACTTTTTTTTTGGGATAATGTTCAAGTATCTCCTCAACCTATGCCCGAAATCTCAGAGACATACTTATATTATACTAAGGTCCTATTACCCCTGAACTTATTTTATTAATAATTTTTTACTTTTTTTTAACCTACGTTGCACTATCTTGTGGGTCCAACGATGGTTGACTTTTTTTTCTTCAAACTAGTGCCACGTAGACTAAAAAGAGGTAGAAAATTACTTGTAAAATAAATTAAGGAGATAATAGGACTTTAGTATAGTATAAGTGTGTCTCTGGAATTTCAGGCCTAGGTTGAGGGGTACTTGTGCATTATCTTTTTTTTTATGGGGTAAATTGGTGGGAGATAAATTGTGTGACTTTCATGTATTTTTGTGTAAAAATCTAATCCTCTTTATATGTTAATAGATTATCTATAAACAACATTTTCAACGAGATCTAAGAAAGATTAGAAAATAAATTATATTCTCTTTCATAATAGTTAATGGTTCGTTCAGCTTTTCTTTTTTATGGTGTAAATTTTGTGACTTTCATGTACTTTTGTGTAAAAGTCTAATCTCCTTTATATGTTTAATAGATTATCTATAAACAACATTTTCAACGAGATCTAAGAAAGATTAGAAAATATATTATATTCCCTTTCGTAATAGTTAATGGTATCGCTTCTCTTGAGAAACTTCCAAGCTATAATATATTTTAGTCTTCCTCGCATTAAAACTGCAAAAAAGTTGTGGACCGTGCTTGTCTTTTTATTTCCTTCATTTCAATTTTTGACCAATAGAGATTGCTTTTAAGAATATCTTTCTTTAGTCGGAAAAAGATTGTCTAGATTCTCCAACTTGGACGGTGAATTGCAGAAATTCAGAACCATATTTTTACAGCATCAAGAATTTTATTAGAATATATTTGTCCCATTCAAATAGTTCAAGGGACAACATGAACCCCTTTACATACAAGCTACAACAACCTTTAGCATGCCGAAGCTTGGATTTTCATTTAGAATATTCTAAATATTAGTCAAAGGGGTTCAACATCTTACTTTGTACATATAAAAATTATCCATGAAAGAAGGTTTGGATGACACTGAGCCCTTGCTAGTTCTTCCCCTAGACGGGACATTATTATTTTGATACTCGGCTAACAAGGTTAATTTGTACCAAAAATGAAATGGAGGGCAAAGTCGTCCATATTTTTAAAGTAATGCAATGTTCACACTGATTTGGAGAGGGAGTAAATCTTACAACCTCAAATCCAAGCTAGTGTACTAGTTTAGTTTTGATAATAGTGATGTTAATTTTGTTATTTGCAGGAAAGCTGCAGTGCCAAGACCAATATGGAATGCGGCTTCACAGATTCTGATGGCTGTTGGATACATCTGTTTAGCCATGGCTATGCCAGGATCACTCTACATTGGCTCCATTGTGGTTGGAATTTGCTATGGGGTTCGTCTTGCCATATCTGTTCCAGCTGCTTCTGAACTCTTTGGTCTCAAATATTACGGTCTCATTTATAATGTCCTAATTCTCAACCTTCCACTCGGCTCATTTCTCTTCTCTGGTTTGCTTGCGGGTCTGTTATATGATGCTCAGGCTACAACAACAGCTGATGGTGGTAACACTTGTGTAGGTGCTCACTGCTACAGGCTTGTATTTATAGTTATGGCTATAGCTTGCATCATTGGGTTCGGCTTGGATATTTTGTTATCCATTAGAACCAGGAGCTTATATGGTAAGATTTATGCAAGCAAGAAAGCCAAGAAGACTAGTACTAGTATATTGTCTTGATGAGTACTCATTGTGAACTCAAAAGTGGGAGGATTGATAGGACATTCGTGTGCTGATGATACCCTTTCCACTTGCACAAGTCAACTTTGTTTGATTAGTAGGATTATTTCGTTACTTTGTATCGAGTAAATCTTAATTCATTGTACTATACTGAACTTGTAAAACTATTGAACTGGTATTTTATCCTCCGTCTTGGGCGTGGTGAAGCAAATGATCAGTGAGATTGACCACCATCAGTATAGTCAGAGTGTGTAATTGTGGACAAGGCCATTGACCCATGATGACAGCCCACAAAATAATGCAATATCAGACTAAATTGTTAGGAGTTGGCCCAGTACTGGAGAAACACATGCAGGATGATAGCAATGGGACCAAGAGGTAAAAAACTTCTAGTTGGCTACAAAAACAGAATTAAGAGCTTGTTTGGCTCAGCTTAAAAGCTGGTCAAACTGACTTAAAAGCTGGTTTTTAACTTATTTAACTGTTTGACAATACTCAAAATAGCTTATTTTAAGTTAAAAAAAACTTATTTTAAGCCAAAAGTTAAAAGCTGGGTAGGGGTGCTTTTTTTTTAGCTTATAAGCTGTTTTAAGTTGACCATATTTTTATATTTTTTCCCTTAATATTTTTATACAATCTCCAAATTACCCATATAATCCTAACATCTCTTTCTTCTATTTTTACCTTTTCACGTTTGGCATAACAACTTCAGTACTTTTATCCAAACGCATAACTGCTTATTTTAAAAATAAGTTTCAGCACTTTCAAAAGTACTTTTTTAAAGCTGGTTTTATTAAGCCCATCCAAACGGGCCTTAAAACAAAAAAAAGAAGAGTTTTTTACTACGTACCCGCAAGAGGTTAGTAGCCACCCCCATTGCATTTACTTCTAATTAATTAACCTGGCACTGAAAAATTTAGTAATGAGTTACTACGTACAAAAGAAAATTGAAATTAAAAGAACAGGAGGATTCTAATGAGTTCTGCTTTCATTTTCGAGTTACTTACATTATTCGATGATCAAAATACAAATCGATTTATTTTTTATTTTTGTAATAATTACAAGACATGATAACAAACATCATCAGAGATCAACCACAATACTTAACTTCATATCATGAGCTCGCGTCACCAACTCTTGAAAAGTGGTACAGGTAGCAAACATGTAAGGCCAAAATTGTTCACGGGTTTGATTCCTATTATAATGCATTCAATTGTCATGTTCGTTACAAAATAGAGAACCTAATTTCATTTCTTTAATAGTAATTATAAAAAACTTTGCAAAATAAAGGAGCATGTCATTTTACTTCTTGATCATGAATAAAGCATTTACCGTCCTCCTTGATTTATAGTTATACAAAAATTTATAACTTGTTTCAGGTTATAATTTTTTTTAAGACAAATGGAGTAGATCAGACATGTCATTTAGTTCTTGATCATCAATTAAGCATCTACTGACCTACATTAGTGCTACCATGTTTTCAAATCTATAAGATAACTTATAGTTACACAAATATTTGTAATTTAAATATTTAGTTAAACACCGCTACTTAAATTAAAAGAGAGGCAGTACATCAAACTGAAGGCATCATAAATAATTCAATATTTCGAAATTAGCTTTCCACTCAAATAATGTGATTACTACTGCATTCTGGCATCATAAACTACAGGCTTCTTGTCATTTTCTTTACTTCATATTTTATGAAAAGAAATGTTAGGTAACTTTTGTACTATAAATGTTAGAAATAGTGTAAAAAAAATTTCTAATATTCCAAGGATCATTTTCCAAAAACATTCCAAAGTTAATAAAATAAATAGTATTCAGTCATGTGATTGGTCACGGAGATACTTAGGATATAGACATATTGTTGGATATCTCATATGTATCCTGTGTTACATGAAATTTAATTTTCTGTTGACACTTTGAGGCATTTTATTTATTGAAATTTAGTACTAAGGCTTTTTCAAATTTCTCTACTATTATTTTGGTCTGTTGAGAGAAAAATGAAGTGCCAATACTTGTTTTTACTCATCATTGGACTCTTTCTCAGCATACTTCCCTCCTTTGCTTCTTATGGTAATGACCATCAAAATATGTTCTTTTTAATTATGTTTAGTTATTTTTGTATGTTTGTAACTACTTTTTTATGATGCAGAGGAACCAATTTATGATCACTCTGCATATACTGAGGTAACATTTTTCCTTTTATCCTGTTTTATGAACGATTGTTATCGCGTTTTAAGTTACTTAATTTCATCTGCTTTAGTGTAAATCAGTGCCAGAAGACGCACTTTACAATGGTGGGATAATGAAGGATTATAGGACAAATGAAAATAAAGTCATTCGATCAGAAACTAATTCGTATAACTTTGTTCTCAACAATCTCTCTGGTGATACCATCTATAGCTTTTCCAGTTAAGTTGTTGGAGCTGAAATTCATCACTGAGGCATATATTTTTCGTTACAACTCTGATACGTGGCGTTACAAACTTGAAATGTAGTATTGATCAATCGTCGTGTTTGTTGTTAGGTTGGATCAGGATACTTGATGCAGATTCAGCAGTGATGAAGGCAAGCTTGAAAACAGATGATGGAACAGTTAAGTGTGTAGGAAATGTGATTGCTAGGGCTGGTTGCTGGTCATTTTTAAAGGGTGGATTTGTGCTTGATTTGCCTTCCTCATATGGTCTACTTTATCTCCAGGTATGTCTTATTAAGACGATAGCTTCAGGTATTGAGTTAATTTTTCTGCAATTGTTTGAGTAACTACAATAAATTTTGGTGCAGAGATCAGATGGAGAAAAGTTAAATATCTCGATTTCTAGTGTTTCGTTGCAGCCATTTACTTATCAACAATGGAAGAAAAACCAACAAGACGCTATCGATAAAGTAAACTCCTGAAACTCTATGGCTTTTAGCATCTTCAGTTTTATGGTAACATTGCATTTTTACTGACTAGTTCTGCCAAATTGAACTTCTAGGGAAGAAAATGCACCGCGATTATTCATATTTCAGACGTGCAAGGAGAAAGAGTGCCTGGAGCTTCAATCATAATAGAGCAACTATCTAGAGATTTTCCATTTGGTTCTGCTATCACAAAGACAATTCTTGGAAATCCAGCATATCAGGTAATAAAATGCTGATCAAATAAGAGTTAACGCGCTGTTTGTTTATTACAAGCACTTTTTGGCTCGTTTCAACGCTTCTAGCTAAATACATAACTGCTTATTTACAAAACTAGTTCCAGTACTTAAAAAGTGTTGTTTACTACTATTATACTTGTTACAGACATGGTTTAAAGAGAGATACAATGCCGCAGTTTTTGAAGATGAACTGAAGTGGTATTCAACAGAAAATCAACAAGGAGTAGTGAACTATACAATACCTGATCAGATGCTGGAATTTGTCCGAAAGAACCAAATCATTACCAGAGGCCACAACATATTTTGGGAGGATCCGAGATACATTCCTTCATGGGTTCGGAACCTGACTGGTCCAGACCTTAAATCAGCTGTAACCTCCAGGATACAGAGTTTGATGAACAAATACAAGAATGAATTCATTCATTGGGATGTCGATAACGAGATGCTTCATTATGATTTCTATGAACAAAGACTTGGCATCAACACAAGTCTTGAGTTTTTTCAAACAGCACAACAGTTAGACCCTTTAGCCAAATTGTTTATGAATGACTATAATGTTGTAGAAACTTGCTATGACATGAATTCAACAGTTGATGCATACATTTCCAAGTTGAGAGATTTAAAACAAGGTGGAATATTCATGGATGGAATTGGCCTAGAAGGACATTTTACAGTACCAAATCCTCCACTTATCAGAGCAGTGTTAGACAAATTGGCTACACTTAAACTTCCTATATGGCTTACAGAAGTTGATATCAGCAAGAATCTTGATAAAGAAACTCAGGTCAGGGTACTTTACTTACTATAACAGTAAAATCGATTCAAATATCTTTTTTACTTTCTTAAACTACTTTGTCAAATTAAAACCAGACAAACAAGGTAACAGTTTTTTATGAATTTGATGACAGGCTAGATATCTAGAGATGGTTTTGAGAGAGGGATTTTCACATCCAGGTGTAAATGGAATCATGCTTTGGACAGGATTACATTCTAATGGATGTTACCAAATGTGTTTAACAGATAACGATTTTCATAACCTACCTGCTGGGGACATAGTTGATAATTTGCTGAAAGAATGGCAAACTGGTGTGGTGCATGGTGAAACTGATGAGCATGGTTCATTTAGCTTTTCTGGTTTTTTAGGCGAGTATAAAATTAATGTCAAATCTGGAAACAGAACAACTAATTCAACATTCTCGTTATACAGAGGAGATGACACCAGGCATTTGAATATTCATTTGTAATGATGTTACTCAGATGAGTAATGTTTGCACGCGCTTTAACTATTTCAATAGATATATTAGATGTTTCTCGAGAATATAACACTATTAATATATGGGTATTCTTTAAGATACAAATTTAGGCAGACAAAAGTAACAAAAGCCATGCTTGTGATTTCCGCAAAGTCAGTTTTATCGTCCAGCCATTTTCTCAATCTTCTACATTTCACATTATAAATATTTAATAATTTCTAGAGCCCCAAATCAAAGGTAAAGTTAAACTCACCTACCTCAATATCAAGGTACATTATGCAACTTAATAATTGCAAATCTCACCAACAAAATCATGGAATAATGAACAGGGATAAAGAATATTGCATCACAATATATATATACACATTTTTTTTTTTTAAAAAAAAAGGAAAAATATGGGCAATTACAACAAGAAGAGAAAAAGAAAGATTCATAGCTAAAAAAGAAGATTAATTTATAGAAAGTGGTGGCTTACAATCTGGAGGAATCTATCAGCTTTACTAGACAAAAGGCAAGAAAAAGAAAAAATCACAACTACAAGAAAACTAATGAAACCAAAGTTGTAGCCAAAGCACTGCCTGCTAAATTCAATGGAAAAAATGCCCTACTTGATTCTCCCATAGCCAGTCCAGCTAAATAGGATCCATCTGCTAGCATAGCTTGTGAACCCGATCCAGGCTGTGTTTCGGTTCCTGACCCATATCCTGTTCCTGCACCAAACTCAAACCCGGTGCCTGATCCGGTTCCCATTTGACCCGAACTTGACTCGATTCCTCCTGTTGCAGGGTCCACAACTCCTGTACCAGTAGCACCATATGACCCATCACCATTGGGGGTAGTAGTATCTTTTGTAGATTTTTGACTGCAATATTAGCTAAATGTCAAAATCAATGTAGTAGTAATTGATTACAACCCATACAACATATACAATCATTCACTCACTCACTGCAACCTGTTGTCAGATACCCCGTGACCAAAAACATTGCATGTGTTATGGAGTATCAAAAATGAAATATCTCTACTTTAACTTCTATTATACTTAAGAGACCTTAATTTAGCTAAATTTGGACATTGGTTCGAAATAATCTTCTTTTATACTTCAAATTGGAGCTCCAATAAAATCAAGAGTTAGCGTCATGAGTCTGGAAATGTCAATTCATTGAAATGAAAAGGAATATTTACCTTGGGGTAGAGGGACAAAATGTGATGGTATAATCTGCACCACTGCAAGTGAAAGTACTGGTAGGATCATCATAAGCGTAGCTGTATGATCTTGGACACGCAGATTTGAACATCTGTGAGTACATTGACGGTTTACAAGTGGACGGTGTATTGTACGCGCCGCTGCAGCAATACTCCGGCTTGTTAAACGCCTCACACGCGCTTCTACATGCCTCTCCACCGCCACTCCTCAGCTCCGACGGGCAGATTTGATTCAGATCCGTTACGCAACCCGTTGTCGCACACATACCCGACCCGCCCGACGCTTCTACCACCATAGGTAAATTGTACCCGTCCACCAAACTCACGTCATAGAAATCCTGCCCAACAGTACCCAATGTAAACTCCGCTAGAGTAGCAGGCGGAGCAGCTCCAGCACCGTTACATTCTACCTCACCGGAGCCGCAATCCCCTGTTCCGCAAGAACCCGACCCGGATCCCTCAAACGTACAACTGGTTCGTCCCCAAAACCTACCGGACCAACCAGTGGGTGCTGTGAATACACGTGAAGACTCTTGAGGAAGCTCAAATCCAGTACTTTGCAGAGTTGGACTACCTGCATTTGCTAGAATCCCTGGCCATACTGTGTACTCACATTTGTTCACAAATGTAAATGTAGCCCCTAAAACACCTGAAAAGAAAAAAGAATACAGTTACAATGTCGCTTTAGTATGTATTATAGTCTTCATAACAGAAAATGCTATTCATATGGCATAAGAATGAGTTTTGTTTTTCACCTCTGGATAAAATGAGGAGAGCAAAACATAAACTAAGAATGAAATGTGAAGGGGAAGAATATGAAAAATCCATATGGGTATTTGCTAATTTCCTTTAGCTGTTGAATACTAGTAATGTTCAACAACAACAAAAATAAAAACAGAGTGATAGATAGGAGGAAGAAGACGATGGAGTGGGGTTAATGTAGGGCTTTTTCTTGCTGATTCTGCTTCTGTTGCAGGGGATAGTGATAAGGTAATGGCAGATTAAAGAAAAAATGGGAAACGGGAATCAGGTCTTGGCTATGTAGGGTTTTTTCAATGCTTAGAAAATAACAAAAATGATTTTTTTGTAAGGAAAAAGGAAAAAGAAATGGGTGATGCAAGAATTAGCAATGTCAGTTGTAAGATAGAAAATTCATATTGTAATAATGCTTTTATGGGACAATGATAATATTGTAAACAATTTTTTAATGCATTATGTGATAAGGTGGATTTAATAAATGCTAGTAGTAATAGTTGTATGGTATAGTTTAACAGCAACGTTGGTACCAGATGTTTATTACCCCGCGAAAAATATGGATTTGGGCTTACTGTCTAAATATTCTTGGTAAATATTATTTTAATAAAATTTCACCATGTGTTTGGCTATAGAATTTAAAAAATATATTTCACCTTTTTAGAAAAATATAATTTATATCCATAAGTTTTAGAACTATCAAAATTAACTATAGGTTTGTATTACAAGTCACTTGGATGTTCGTTACGACAATAACTAATAGTGTCCATGATACCAGAGCAATGTGATAATTTGGAGGGAGTGCAACAAACATCATTACATACATCGTGAAGTATACAAAGTGCATGACTTTGTTACGTTGAACCAATTTTTCATCATTTTCATCAACAATCAAATCATTACTTAATATTCAGTAAATATTTCATCACTATTTTGGTGTTTCACTTAAAAAAATATGTAATGCAACGCAAACAACTACTGTAGAGGATATTTTTGTAAAAGATAAAAGTTTGAGGTAAAAATTTAATTTTCAAAAGATCCCAAATAATGAGATTTGACCCAAATACTACAGAAGATTAATATTGGAAATTTAAGATATTTGCCAAAAATATTTGTCAAATAATGATAAATTGTATGAACAAACATTATATGCTAAATTTTTTCCAAATATTATTTGGGAAATCTTATGGCCAAACGGGCCATAAGAGTTGGTTTCTAACGGTAGAAATAGAGAAAGAAAATAAATTTCGAGAAATAACATATTAGTAAAAAGATATTGTTAACTCTTATTTCTATATAAAATATTAATTTATGAACTTTGCCTAGTTTATCAAAGTATGGATATATTAGTAAAAAGATAATCTAATAGTTGAAAATCATGATAATGATAAATACAGTTATTTAATGTTTATATTTATGTTAATGAAAAATAGCACAAGTGACGTAAAATTCATGTGAATTCTACATATGACATTTCAAATCTTTTCAAGTAGAATGCATTTTAAAATATAGCTTCATATTTCAAAAGGAAAAATTTTTAAATTTTAGTTTTAAAATTTATGATTAATCGAGAGTTAAATACATATGTTTTTGTGAATTTAAGAAGAAAAACTAACATAAAATGGATGTGTTAGGTGTAATGATTTAATATTCCACGTTAGTATTCATTAGTTATTTTTTCAAATTGCTTTCACTTGTCTATTTTAGACTTATAAATTGATCATCTCTTTTAAATAAAGAATAATAATTGATGTATGAATTTTATTATAATATTTATATTAATTAATATTTAATATTATTTTTTAAAAAATAAATAAATTTAAAAATACACAAAAATACTATTTAAGTATTTTTAAACTGATTACAAAAATTAAATTTATATTAAAAAATTAAATTTATTTTAAAAATAATTAACGAAAGATGAAAATAATTGGAATTAGTGTCGATTTACGTGTCACTTTTTAGGACAGAAATGTGGTATGGAGACTTGTGTGGTATAGAACCACACTTTCATATATTTTAATTTTTTAATAGGAAAGAGTTAAAATTATCTATTTTATTTTATTGATTAGCTGTTAAAAGTAAGTTATATTTACTTTTGTCGTTAATAAACACAGGACAAGTTACCTGCTCCTCTTTGGTCTCCTTTTTCACAAACTCCAAGTCAGGGCGGGGTAAGTAAAGCAAGATTGAAGTCCTTACGAATGGCATTTGCTGGGACTCGGCGGTGGTGGTGAAAGAGATTTTGGAGAGGGTGATGATTTTGATGGTGGAAAAAAAGTTTATTAGGATAAAATGAATGGGTTATTTTATTAGATGAGTTGGATCGGATTAAAATTAGGTCATTTAAATAAAATTAGATAATATTAATTGATTTGTGACTTTTGATCCAAATAGGAATATATTTGTTAAGTTTATTAATTACAAGATAAATATAACTTATTTTTAACGAGAAATAAAATCAATCAATAAAATAAAGTTGAGTTGTAATTTTAACCTTTTTTTTTCATTTTTTAATCAAGCATTTAGTTGTTTTTCCAAAATTTATATAACAAATAAAAAATTTATCAAAAAAATAATTTGTCTCAATTACTAATGTCGTATAGTTAACTCGATACTTAACCCATTCGTACATGACTTTTCTTAAAATTTTTGTTTCTAAGTCAAACTTTAGTAACTTTCAATTTAAAAAATGAATGGCAGTATCTATCTTTTATTTTTAACTATTTATTTTTGTTATTTGAATTTATTTAAAAATATTTTAATTTTGTTAAATATTCTCAAAAATTAAAAATAACTTAAAAGTAGATTTGATCAATTTTGAAGTGACCGGTAAGAAATTATGAATATTTATTTGGTTTTTAGAGTCTGTTTGACTCATCTTAAAAGTTAGTCAAACTGACTTAAAAATTGGATTTTGAATTATTTAGCTGTTTGGTAACACTCAAAATAACTTATTTTAAGTTAAAAAAACTTATTTCAAGCCAAAAGTTAAAAGATGGGGTAGGAGTGTTTTTTAGCTTATAAGTTGTTTTAAGTTGACCATATTTTTACCTTTTTGTCCTTAATATTTTTATACAATCTCCAAATTACCCACATAACCCTAACATCTCTTTCTTCATTTTTCCCTTTTCACGTGTGGATG